CGACTGCACCTTACCCATGCTTACAATTGAAGAATCTTTGGATCTGGTACTTCCGTTTCCATTGGAGGAGCTTCCTTCTTTTTCCTTTTATCGGTTTAAATTCGAGTCTCCTCTGGACTGTCACCCTCTCGCCTCCGTTTCTGAGCATCTCTTATGACGCTTTTGAGACTACGCCTGAAGGAACGCTCTATCTCTTCCTTCAGGTCCTTGCGGTTACACTCCGCACCGCTGAACGCAAGCCAAATCGAAGTCCGACTCATCATCCGCGGCATGCTTTACTTTTGCCTCTTTCAGCAGGACTTCGATGGCTCGACGCGCTACCTTTTCTCATTCTTTCTCCTTCCACGATGTTCTGTGGATCTAATCTTTCCACGATCACTCGTGGCACTGCAAGAAATTGTGCGCCCTCACAATCCGCGCGCACTTGAGCATCAGTCCTGGGACCGATGGTGAGATTTCCCGTTTCCGGCCTGCTCACATGGGGTACTTTCTTTGAATTTTGTGAATCCATTTTTTCTTGCTGTTTGGTTGCCCTTTAGTGACAAGCCCCGCCACCACGGCAAGGTCCACCGAACATATCCAGGATGCCAGTCGTGCCTGGCAGCGGGCCCACTTTTCCTAGCACATCAAAGAAATTAATGATGTTTGTCAGTGGGCAACCACCGGCGGAGCTTAGAAAAAGTCTTAGTCAAATTATAAGTCAAAGTCTAAGACTTAGTCAAAGTCTAACTCTTAGTTAAAGTCTTAGTCAAAGTCTTAGTCTAAGTCTTAGTCCAAGTCTTAGTAAAAGTCTTCGTCTAAGTCTTAGTTAAAGTCTAAGTCTTAGTCCAAGTCTTAATGAAAGTCTTTGTCCAAGCCTTAGTCTAAGTCTAAGTCTTAGTCCACGTCTTAGTGAAAGTCTTTGTCTAAGCCTTAGTCTTTGCCCAAGTCTTAGTCTTAGTCTAAGTCTAAGTCTATGTCTTAGTCTAAGTCTTAGTCCAAGTCTTAGTGAAAGTCATTGTCTAAGCCTTAGTCTTAGTCTAAGCCTTAGTCTAAGTCTTAGACTAAGTCTTAGTCTAAGTCACAATCAAAATCTTAGTCTAAGACTTAGTCTTAGTTTAAGTCTTAGTCAAAGTCTTAGTCTATGTCTTAGTCCAAGACTTAGTCTTAGTCAAAGTCTTAATCTAAGTCTTAGTCTAAGTCTATGTCTTTGTCCAAGTTTTAGTCCAAGTCTTAGTGAAAGTCATTGTCTAAGCCTTAGTCTTAGTCTAAGTCTATGTCTTAGTCTAAGCCATAGTCTATGTCTTAGTCTAAGTCTTAGTTTTAATCTATGTCTATGTCTTAGTCCAAGTCTTAATCCAAGTCTTTAGTGAAAGTCATTGTCTAAGCCTTAGTCTAACTTTTAGTCAAAGTCTGAGTCTTAGTCTATGTCTTAGTGAAGGTCTTAGTCAAAGTTATAGTCGAAGTCTTAATCTTATTTTAAGCCTTAGTCTATGTCTTAGTCCAAGTCTTAGTCTTAATCTATGTCTTAGTCAAAGTCTCAGTCAAATTCTAAGTCTAAGTCATAGTCAAAGTCTTAGTCTAGCCTTAGTCTTAGTCAAGTGTAAGTCTTAGTCAAAGTCTAACTCTTACTCAAGTAGTAGTTCAAGTCTAATTCAAATCTTAGTCAAATCATAGTCCAAGTCTAAGTTGAGTCTTAGTCAAGTATTAGGCAAGTCTAAGACTTTGACTAAGAGTTTGCCTTAGTCTCGGATTAAGACTTTGACTAAGGCTTAAATTTTAGTTAATTAATTAATAAAATTACAATAATATATAACTTTGGTCATACAAACATTTTCAGGGTGGCCGCTGGACCGGGAAAACCGGGAAATGACAGTGAATTTTTTTGGACAGGGAAAAACCGGGAAATGACAGTGAATTTTGATCTTGACCGGGATTTTGGAATTTTTTTTTTAAAACACACATTACTTTGTGAGAAAAATAGAAATATTTATTTTAAGACTTAGGTATTAACTATATTTCATTAAAAAAGATTGAATGATCTTCTATAAAATCTATTTATATTTTGTCAGAGAATTTTATAAAAAGTACTATAAAAATATTCAATTTCTAGAATTTATAAGAAAATTGTGAATTTTGTTGTCCAACATAACAGACTTAGAAAAAGAAAATATTAAATTTAATTTTAAATTCTTTCTATTTCTAACAATAATTAAACAAAATATAATTTTAATTAAATTTGTCAAAAAAATTTCAAAGAGAAAAAATTTCATATCCTATAAAATAATGAAAAATAAATCAATTTAAAAATTTTTTTGCAATTAATATTATAACAAAACAAATAAGAATTATTAAAAATTTGAACTAATTAGAACAAAAGTGATACGAAATTTATAAAAATTAATTTTTGAATAATAAATAAAGTAAATAAAAATAAATAAAATTTCTTTTCTTAGAAAATAAATAAAATTTCTTTTCTTAGAAAATAAATTTTAAAAAACCGTATTTTTCATTAATATTAATTAGTTTTTTTTACAATTATTCATAAGCAAATTTTTCAATATTTTAGAATGTTAAATTAATATTACTAGTATTATTATAGATTGAATTTTAAAAAATTTCAAATTGAAGTTTTAGAAAAGTTGAATTTTAAAAGATTTTAATTAAAAATTCTGAATAATTTAGTCTTTAAAAATATTTTTATTCGCATTTTTTCAAATTAGTTATGTTTTTGAATATGTAATATTTAATTGAAAAATATTCAAATTATTCAAAATTTCATGAAATTGTCTTGTAAACAAGTGGATTTTAGAAATATTTTAGTTATTTCTACAATATAATTGAATTGAAATTTTGAAAATAATTTTTAATAAGTTGCAGTAGCAATTCTTAAAAATTATTCAAATTTAAAGGATTTGAAATTTGAATTTTTTTTTTTGAAATTTGAGTACCTACTATATGAAAAAATAATGGATAATAATTAAATATTCATTTCAAAAAATCTATTTAAGTTCAAAATTATTTTTAGAGTAAACTAAAATATTTTTAGGGTTTGGGAAAAAGTCAAAGTTTTGTCTAAAAATCAGGAAATTCTTTCAATCTTTCATTGAATAATTTATTTTCAGAGTTATTATTTATGACCGGGAAATGACCGTGAATTTTTTTTTACAAAAAAAGTGGCCACCCTGATTTTAACAATATTTGCGTTTTTTTTTGGACATTAAATTCATACTTAAAAAGATAACATAATCAAAAACACTAAAAAATAATTGAAGTCCGATTCCGGGCATCGACCAGAATTTAGCAAGGGTTTAAAATACCTGTACTGGTCTCCTTCTGAGACGAAACATTTACCTTATCTTAAAACTATGTTTTAAACAAAAAAATGATTAGATGTTAAATCATGTTAAAACTAATCTTTCTGCAGTCGGTAGGCGTGGCCCAAAAGGCCCATTGCATAAACGCCACGCATTTTCAGACCATTACTAACTCAATATAACTCACTGATCGATTGCACTGTAATGCTTTTATCATTAAAGTATGCTATGGAAAAAAATTATTCAAACGTAAAAAAATTTGGTGGCCCTGAAAAGGGCCGATTGTTTTGGATGACGATGATGATGAAAAAATTAACCGCCGAAACCGTAGAGAGTACGGCCTTGACGCTTGAGAGCATAGACGACGTCCATGGCGGTGACGGTCTTCCTCTTGGCGTGTTCGGTGTAAGTGACGGCGTCACGGATCACGTTCTCAAGGAACACTTTCAAGACACCACGGGTCTCTTCGTAAATCAATCCCGAGATACGTTTCACTCCACCACGACGAGCCAAACGACGGATGGCAGGCTTGGTGATGCCTTGGATGTTATCTCGCAACACTTTACGATGGCGCTTTGCTCCTCCTTTTCCCAATCCCTTTCCTCCCTTTCCGCGACCAGTCATTTTCACAGAGAATAAGGTTTACGTTCGATCAGAACAGAAAACAAACTCGGAATGATGCTACGCCTTTTTTTTTTTTTTTTTTTTTTTTTTTTTTGTGTGGTCTGCGATGAGAAAATCTTCTAAAGACACCCAGGGGAATTTGGGTAGTGTCGGATTCACTTAAAAAGTGCCTACCGACTAAAAACTCATCACAGTGGTTATCAACCAAAGGTTATGAACCAATAAAGAAGACGAATGCCCGATGTAAATAAAGTTACATGGGTGTTGACGCATAGAGCGAAGCACGAAATTAGAGAGGTTTAAGAAGAAGATGGAGAGATGAGAAGGCAAGGCCTTCTAACACGATCTGTGTTTTTGCTCTTGTACTGGATGAGCGAGTTGATAGTTGGGTTTGGGTGGTTTTCGATAGAGAGACGAAGGTTCTTTGAGTAGGTTTGAGCGGCAGTAAAAATGGAAGGGAGGTTTGTTTCCTTGAGGATTTGGAGATTTCGGATGTACCAGGGAAAGTTCAAGGCAGAACGGAGTAGTCGCATGTAAGTCTTGTTAAGTCGTGTTAACTGTGGTGGGGTAGCAGAGCCCCAGATGGGGATGGCGTAAGTGCATATGCTACGGATGATAGCGTTAAAGGCACGGATTTTGGTCGATTGAGAGACCTGAGGGTTGCTAAAGAAAGGTTTGAGGGAAATGAAGGCGCCGTTGGCTTTACCGCGAACTGAGGTTATGTGTTTGGACCAGGTGAGATTTTTGTCAAAAATGACACCGAGGTATTTGGCAGAGGTGCTCCACTTAATAGGGAGGGAGTTTACTATGGGTCTAGGAGGGGTGCGCATTCGGCGTGAAAAGAAGACTGCTTCGGATTTGGTTTTGTTGATGTCGAATCGCCATCTCCAATACCAGTTCAAAACGGTTGTGATGCTACGCCGTGAAAGTACGCAGTTTTATTCCCTCTGGAGTTCCACTGCTCCCCTCCATAATTTGATCTACCAATCAGGATGTCATTTTCCCCTTCCTCTTGACTAACCGGTGGAAAAGCTTCTAAAAGCTATAAATATGTGAGATTTTGCCGCCGCAGCTATTCAGTCGAACTCTCAACTTCGAAGCAATGGCTCGTACTAAGCAAACCGCGCGCAAATCCACCGGTGGTAAAGCACCGAGGAAACAACTCGCCACCAAGGCCGCTCGTAAGAGTGCGCCTGCAACCGGTGGAGTGAAAAAGCCCCATCGCTACAGGCCCGGAACCGTCGCTCTCCGTGAGATCCGTCGCTACCAGAAGAGCACCGAGCTCCTCATCCGCAAACTGCCCTTCCAACGCTTGGTCCGTGAAATCGCTCAGGACTTCAAGACCGACCTGCGCTTCCAGAGCTCCGCCGTGATGGCCCTCCAGGAGGCCAGCGAGGCCTACCTCGTCGGTCTCTTCGAAGACACCAACTTGTGCGCCATCCACGCCAAGAGAGTCACCATCATGCCAAAGGACATCCAGTTGGCCCGTCGCATCCGAGGAGAACGTGCTTAATTTTTTTCGACCACACAAAACAATCGGCCCTTTTCAGGGCCAACAAATTTTCTTACGTTGAAATATTTTTAATTCTTATAAAAACATGCCTTAATATTCTATAAACAACCTTTTTTCGTATCGATTAAAAATACCTTTTAGTAGCAAAAAATCATACTGCATCTGGTAATTTTTTAATATTACATTCTCCAATTGCTCATCGAAAGAGTTTGTTATTTTGACGAAACCTACAAGTGAATGTAACTGATAAATAGTTATTCACTATTTTATTATTAAAAGTATTACTATATTTGATTCACTGGCTTTCTACTATGAGATTAATTATTTTTATAGCTAATACAAATATAGAAATTATAGACTATGCAGGCGATAGTCAGGGAATTTTATGAAAAGAACTGGAAAAATATATAAATAAATAATATTCTGTTTTTCTACAATAATTTATAAGTAACTATTTGTTATATTTTACAATGTTAAATTAATATTACTAATATGGATTGAACTTCAGAAAGTTTTATAGGAAAGTTGAATTGTACAAAATTTTAATGAAACATTCTGAATAAATTAGCATTTTAAAACATTTTTATTCCTTTTTTGAAAATTACTTATACATATTTTTAAATATATATTTTCAAATTATTAGAAATTTTATGAAATTATTTGTCTTGCAAATAAGGACAGTATTTTATGACGCTGAAAATTACTGGATTATGCCCTGAAAAACTGATTATTATGCGAAATTATGCGTTGAAAAATCAAAAAGTGCAAAATTGATGTTTTTGAAAGAAAAACGTTACCAAAATAAAGCTTTTAACATAAGGTTAATTAAAAGTTGTATTTTAAATTAATAGATTGATACAGCCAAAAATGTAGAAATGCTATTTTAAAAAGCAATCTATTTGGTTAACAAATGGAATTTTTCCTAAACTATTTATCTGATCGTATCCAGATTTGGCGCACATCTTAAGGGCCCGGAGAGGCATATTTTTGAAGAATACCGAAAGAATTTGTTAAGTCTTGTTCAGCTGGAAAAATCTCGAGTGTGAAACATAAACACATATTCATACTACCATCCCACACTATATGAATCCACAGTCAAACGTAAAGTATCAATTCAATGTCAACATGTGACTTATCAGAAAGGTAGTCCTAATACTGCAACACATTTGGAACCAAATAATTCTTTCGTAAAAATATTTGTTGGCCCTGAAAAGGGCCGATTGTTTTTCGAGAAAGGTGGACAGAATTTACTTGGAGCTGGTGTACTTGGTGACAGCCTTGGTGCCTTCAGAGACGGCGTGCTTGGCGAGTTCACCAGGAAGGAGAAGCCTGACGGCAGTTTGGATCTCCCGGGAGGTGATGGTGGACCTCTTGTTGTAGTGGGCCAAGCGGGAAGATTCGGCAGCGATGCGCTCGAAGATGTCGTTCACGAACGAATTCATGATGCTCATGGCCTTGCTGGAGACTCCAGTGTCGGGGTGCACTTGCTTCAACACTTTGTAGATGTAGATGGCATAGCTCTCCTTCCTCTTGCGCTTCTTCTTCTTGTCGGTCTTGGTAATGTTCTTTTGAGCCTTGCCGGCTTTCTTGACAGCTTTACCACTGGCTTTAGGAGGCATGGTTGTTTTCAGAGAAAATACGTCTGAACACAAAGGCAATTCAGGATGAATTGATATTTTGCACACTGGCGGCACCGTATTTATGTCCGCCTGCGGCATTTTGATTGGTGCGGGCACTCACTGCGACCATCTGCCACTCACGACAAAGAGAGGGGAGCGTACTTGTGGGCGTGACCTGTGGGGAGAGCATAAATAGGCGGATTTCTGGCGCAGAACATCATTCGCTTTGTATTCTTCGTTGTGTTTACTTCGTTTACCTAAAACTAAATCAAAAATGTCAGGACGTGGCAAAGGTGGCAAAACCAAGGGAAAGTCAAAGACCCGCTCCAACCGGGCTGGACTCCAGTTCCCAGTCGGTCGTATTCATCGTCTTTTGCGCAAAGGAAACTACGCCGAGCGAGTCGGTGCTGGTGCTCCAGTTTACCTAGCCGCAGTTATGGAATACTTGGCTGCCGAAGTTTTGGAGTTGGCAGGAAACGCAGCTCGTGACAACAAGAAGTCGAGAATCATCCCCCGTCATCTCCAACTCGCCATCAGAAATGACGAGGAATTGAACAAGCTCCTGTCTGGAGTCACCATCGCCCAGGGTGGTGTTCTCCCCAACATCCAAGCTGTTCTCTTGCCCAAGAAAACCGAAAAGAAAGCTTAAATTTTCCATACTCACCCTCACAAAACAATCGGCCCTTTTCAGGGCCAACAAATATTTTTTACGTTTGAATACTATGTTCTTTACATTTATATTAAAAATCAGAACCAAAATTAATTTTTTTATATAGAGATAATCTTCCTTTTTGATTTACAAGAAGGAGGATGTTACACATGATCTTTCATGAATTTACGGGAAAGAAAGTTCACCAAAAGTCGAGAACTTTCTAAAAAGTTTTGGATATATGTATTATAAAATTTCTGATGACAATGGAGTCGGAGTGGGAAGCACAAAACCTTACTTGTATAAATTATAAACTAACATCTTCACATGCATTTTATTTATCGATTTATAACTGAAAATCCAATTAAATTTCAGTTTGGCAATACTTTGGGAAATTCCAGTTGGGTTGACCACATCTTTGTCCGTTGGACAAAAAGTTTTTGAAACTTTTTTTAAATTCAGGGTGTTCACAAGTTTCAGTTTATTAATTTGCCTGACAAAATTCGTTTTACAGGAAAGTATAAAAGTTTCTGGAAAATGAGATTTGCCTGAATTTTAACAAGTTTCGAGGTTAGAAATAAATAAATAACAAATATCTTTCAGTTTTCAATTTTTAATTACAAAATTTATGTACATGTGCATAAAAAAATAATCGTCAATTACAACTAAAGAGTGTAGGGGAGAGTAGTCAAGGTTGAATAGGTGGTCAAGGTTGGATAATGGCGCTTATTTCGTTTTATCACATAGTGACACCAACTTTTTTACAATGTTTAGCAAAAACATTGCATTTTGGTAGAACTTTCCAATAATATAAGAGGAAATCGTCAAATTCGGTAGACAGGAGAAGTTATAGAAAACAGTCAGTACCTGATCCAACCTTGACTACACTCCCCTACATTAAAGCTTGGAACTAGTAACGTCCTTTTTTTCAAAATTATTCCACCTGTACATTAAAAAAAATCTAGGATAACATTTTTTTTCAACTAGATTCAGTCTTGACCTCTTGATCTATCAAACTTTCAACTTCGCCTAAAGTCAATGAATTATTAGTTCCTTGAGGAGAAACATTCTCTCTAATCCACTTTTTAATAGTCTGTAAACTCTCGTAAGCCTGCTTCGATGTTATTTCCTCCATTTGTAATGCCTCATCTTCCTCCTCAGAACTATTTTCACTGTCATCCGTGTTACTTTCAATATCGCCATTAATTTTTCCATTCATGTCAACATTTTTCACTAAATTCACAATCTCAACGTCAGTCAATGGTTTCCATCCACAATCATTTGTATCCGTCTCATACCAGTGACGTAATATTTTCAATGGATTTTTCAACATAAAATGTGGTCCCAATAAAATACGCTCGAGATCATTGGCATTTTCATCACCGGGAAATGTTGCGTCCTCATTGTTGTCCAAGAGACAATCAACATCGACAAATTCCAAGTCATTTGTTAACAATTCCTTGGAATTTGATGATTTTTGACTCGAGACTATTGAATCAAGTCTATCGACTGGTAGACAGAGGTAATCCAAAAAGAGTTTCCAAACTCTTTCCAGCGTTGAATTTTTTATTGTTTTCCAAGCGTCTGTTAAAAGAGTGAGGCAATCTTGATGATTGAAATTTTTCAGATAATCATCGATAGTGCCCGATTTTTCCGAAATAATTAGTTGACGGAGAAAATTTTTTTTGTAGTACTTTTTTGTCAGTGAAATGGGTCCTTGGGCCATGGGTTGAAATGTAGCTGGTATATTCGGAGGTAGGTTGATGACCTCAACATTTTCGTTGAGGGAGTTCAGTTTTTCGAGTGGAGGATGACAGGGGGCGTTGTCGAGGATTAGGAGAATTTTACCGGTTATTTGAGTTTCTCTTTGAAAGGCTAAGGCACGTGGTATGAAGATTTCGGTGAACCTGAAAAATTGCAATTGTTTTGATGAAAGAGTTTTTAAAAGATTACTTAAATATTTTAGAAAAGGATCATAGGACTTTGTGGGTTCAAATTTAATGTCAAAAATTAAAAAAGGGGTGAAAATATTCCAATTTATTAAATACTGACTTAAAATTGAGGTAAAATTAATTTAACATTGATTCAATACGGACTTAATATTGATTCAACATTGATTTTGCATTGTCAATAAGTGGTACGATCCCTCAAAGCAATTTTCTCCATTTTAATTGCGCTATATAAATACAGAATATGGTAAGAAAAAAAATTTACCATTTTTCGAAAATCTCTTGATTCATCCATGAGCTTTCCTGACTCGTATAAATATCACCATGGCACTGTAATTCGCGTTGAATTGCAGTCACATCCGATTTGCCAATGACAAACAGTGGGATACGATTAGTGCCACCGGCATTTGAGCAAAATACCATTGTGATACGATTCTCCCGCTTTTTTAGACATTCATTATTGTTAATTTTCATTTTCTCCGGCGCTGAACATGATAATATTGTACGCCAATAAATTCCCGCCTCATCGGCATTATAAATATTCTCCAATAATAATCGTTCAGTTATTATTTTCTCCTTTAAATAACTCGAAAATTCCTTTATACATTCGGAGTCGTTTACATGTTTATCGCCCTTCAAATCGACATGACGAATGTTGTAGCGTTTTTTAAATGTTATTAGCCATCCGTTGCTTGCCTGTATTTAAAAAAAACAATTTCGTTAATAAATATTCACAGTTAATACTTTAATAAATATATTATTTAATTATTATATTTACAGGCCTTGGATCGACTTTAAGACACAATCCGATGAGGCCTGTATTTAAAATAATAAATTTAATAGTAGAAAAAGGATTAAAAGACTATTTGAGGGCTGGAAGTTTGAAAAAAAAGAGAAAACATAACCTCAAAAAAAATAAACAATTTTACTTGATATATTAATTATTCCGTTTTTATTTAAAATATTTATTTTCGGTTTATAATCTAAATTCTCTATTTAAATGTACACGCACTTACCTTAAAATCAGAAGGTCCATCTAATTTTTCATTTAAAATTAATGCTCTTTCACGAATAAGTGGGCCTGACACTGGATCACCACGATCTCTTGCCTGCTGAAACCATTCTAACACTGCGTCATCTAAATAATTACTCTTTATTTTTCTAAATGTTTTTCGATGTTTATTTTGTTGTTTCTTCACTTTATTCATTAATTCATTTTCATCTCTCATAAATTTATAATACGTTGTCTCGCCAATTTTATATTCTTTCAATATTTTACTCTTCTCAACACCGGCTCTTATTTTCCTTAAAACTTCTATTTTCGATTTTAAATCTAAACATGTTTTATTTCTTCTTTGCTTCATTTTCGCAATTAATTTACAGGAAATTATTTATTTGTAATCATGTATTTTTTTTTTATTGTTTTCTTTCTTCTAGAACAAGGAATATAAAAATCATGACAAAAATAAATAAAAAGTAGAATTTTTCTCTTCTGCTAGAGTGTATAAAATTGATAGGGAATTTAGGTGTTACCAACAATAGAAATAAGAAAAGTTGGCGCAGTGCTAATTTTGTCCAGAATTAACCGCGAATTCTGAATTACCGACAGACATTAACATTAAATTTGTCCTCTATAAATAAAAATATAAATAATAAATAATATTAATAATAGTAAAAATATCAATATTAATAATGATAATAATAATAATAATAATAATAATAATAATAATAATAATAATTACAGCAGAAAAAGTAGTTAATTTAATTATTTTCCACAATTTTTTAAATACCAAGAAATGAAAAAAAATCCATTTTTTGTCAATGGGATCGAACCCGAGTTTTATGATTATGAACCAAATATCCTGACCAATGAGCTAAACAATATAATGAAACAAATTTAGATAAAAAAGTAAGTTTTTACTTGAATTCCCCTGAAACTTCTTACTCAGGGGTTTTCAGGGTCGCTGATTACGAATCCGTTAACGGAATTTCAAAATTCAAAATGGCGGATCCAATATGGCGGATGACAAAATTTAAAATTAAGCGGATTCGCTTGAAATTCATTACTCATAAGTTTTTGGGGTCGCTGATTACGAATTTGGTGTTATATTTTCGAATTTCAAAATGGCGGTTTCAATATGGCGGATGCCTTTGCAAAAATCTATTTAATTCTCTTAAAATTCGTCACTCGGGGGTTTTCGGGGTCGCTGATTATGAATATTAAGTTAGATTTGTAAAATTCAAAATGGCGGGTCCAAATATGGCGGATTTTTCTTGTAATTAGCCAAATTAGTTTAAAATTTGTTATTCGGGGGTTTTCGGGGTCGCTGATTACGAATCCGTTATCGGAATTTCAAAATCCAAAATGGCGGCTTCCATATGGCGGATGTTTTTTGCAAAGAACTATTTATTTCGCTTAAAATTCGTTACTCGGGAATTTCCGGGTTTGCTGATTACGAATTTGATATTGTATTTGTAAAAATCAAAATGGCGGCTCTAATATGAAGGAATTTTCTTATAATTTAATATTTTTGCTTAAAAAATCGTTTGAAGTAAGATTATTTGAATACCACTTTCGAAAGGAAATATCATTCAAGGGCAAAAATGAAGTTGTCGGTAAAATTTTATTTTTTAATCACCATAATTACTAATTTGTATATATGTAGGAGATCGACTCCAAAAAACTAGAAATTATTAATTTTGGAATTTTTCCCTTGGTTTAGAGATTTTATTGATAATTACTAATTTTAAAAAAATATATTTTTATTATTATTATATTATAATATTATAACATTATTTATTAAAAAATATATTTTTTAAAATTATTTCAGACTAATGATCAACAAATTAGAAGCAAAAACACTGACCTCTTTATATTAGTCTACGAACTAAGGAAAAAGTGAGATGATCGATAAGTAAGGGAACTTTTTTATATAAATGCAACTGTCGATAAGTATTTTTTTTATCGCCAGCAGCAAACATACTTATCGACTGCTGCACTTTCAAAAATTACCTTATGATAAATAAATTTACCAACAGATGTGAATTTAATTCAAATCTCAAATGTTGTCATCACATTTAAATTCAAATTTCGCGAAAATATTATTATTATGTTAATAATTAAAAAAATGAGAAAATATATTTATGCTTAAATGTCAAAATTGTAATTTTTGTTCATAAAGTAGTAGATTTATTTTTCAGTTACTTTTTTTTTTAATTTTTCTATTTTCATCATTCCATCAACTAGGTTCAGTATAAAAAATTAAATTTTTTTCATTTACTCTGATAGACGTAGGAAAACTGGTTTTAAACTAAACATTTCACAGGCGAAACTCTATATAGGAATGTTTATTTGTCACGACGACGACGACGAAGGCTCGCCAATCTCGAAAGTTGTTGACGCGTTCTTGACATTCTTCCTCCCTTATTTGTTATTTTTCCATTTTCCACATTTCTTTATATTCATTCCAATAAATAAAGTTTTCTGTATGTTTTTTTCTTTTTTGTTTATTATTTACAAAAGTTGTTTTTTTCCTAGTATAGCATGCTGCCATTTTACCCCACATTGATTTCTATTTTCTATATTAACAAAAGTATTTTTTTTTTGACAAAAGCAACATAGTGTCATTTTACCCCATATTCACCGAATTGTCTGATTTTTTTCACGAAATTTCCTATTAGAGAACAAATTGTCATTTTTGGGGTTGAAATTCTCTTGGGAAGGAATTTTTTCCAGTTGGTATTGATAAAAATTCGCCATATTGGGGTAAGTTGTCCTCAAATGAAAAAATTGGGAGTAAAATTGGATAATTATATCCGCATGTGAATTATATGATTTGGTTTAAGTTATAGATCAGTAAATTGTCTTCAATACTTAGGCTTTTTTTATGCAATTTGGGGCAAGTTGTCCCAAAATAAAATAACGGGGTAATTTCTTTTCACTATGGGGTAAGTTGACTGCTGAAAAATTTGCTCTTCAGTAATCAATAATTTAAAAAATATATTCTTTTTTCCACCACATAATTAGAGTTAATTTCCGAAAAAATTTTTTTGTCACAACTTACCCCAAGGTGGTCACCTTGGGGTAAGTTGTGACAAAAAAATTGTTCGCAAGACTTTTGAGTAATTTTAGTCCAAAGGAACTATTATTTTCAATTCTAGCAAAATTTTTCATAATTTTTCTAAAATGGTTCTTATTACCCCTAAAATAAAACCCATTTCGGGGTAATTTGTCACTAATTGTGAAATAAGAAGTAAAATTTTAAAATCGTCCGATTTTTTATGAAAATGCTAATAAGAAATTTTGTTACCAATATGAAATACCCCACTTGGCACATATTCTCAGTTCCCGCTATAACACTCTCTATTTAATACTTCCGGTTGTCTACGATCAGTATAATGATATCCGTAACGTCAACTCTAGTTTTAAGCGGGATACGGTATAATTAGAGCTTCCATCGAAAGGGAAGGAGACAATTGATGAGAAAAAATAATTAGGGAGACACACCTCACTCATACCGTTATAACTAATTAACCTTTTTCAATTAATAAACATTTAGTAAAAAGAATTTTATAATTTGCAAACACTATATATATCACATTCTCTACATGACTGAAATAAAACAGTAATTACGGAGGCAAAAAATAAGTTAAAAAAAATTTTTTTTATTTCTTTCTGTGAGTAATTGACGCTAATGGGGTAAGTTGTCCCACGTGTGAAATTTCATTTTGTAAAAATTTTCACATTAGTAATTGATATTTAAGATTGTTTGCTGAGAAATCAAGGTTCTTTTGGAAGAATTAAAAATTTACCATATGCGGGGTCAGTTGTCCGACGGACAAAAAGGGTAATTATTCCCTTGGGGTAAGTTGTCCAAATTTTGACAATTATTCCAAAGTCCGAAAGATTTTTTTCTTTTAATATCACATTTGTATCTAATACATTTTTGTGAACTGGACACGATTTTGGATAACAAAATTGTCTAGCACGTCAAAATTTTGAGAAAAGTGGGGGAAAAGGCCAAAAAAAAGTATTTCTGCGGGTTTTTAAGATATTTTTTTCTATTTAACCGAACGATAAATACTTTCTTGATGCCTCAATTTAAAATGCGAAACATGCATTTTAAAATCTAGACGCAACGCTAAAAAATAGAAAATTTTTGAAAAAAGTGGGGGTAAAGACAAAAAAAATTTTTTTCTCTTAATTTTTGACATTGGAGTCGTTTCTAATGTATTTTTGTCCGCTAAATACGATTCCGGGTTGTAAAATTGTCGGAAACTTTCTAATTTTGAGAAAAGTGAACAAAAAAGATATATTTACCCACACTTTTCTCAAAATTCTGTATTTTTTTACATTTTTGCATATATGGGTTTCAAAGTACATGTTTCAAGCTTTAATTTAAGACTTCATGGAAGTCTCAAAAGCACTCGAGGATAAAGAGAAAAAATCTTACGGAGAGAAGAAAGTATAGTCAATCATATACTCAGCCCTGAGTCATATATTTATACCAAACAATATGGTGACATAAAGTTTAACAAAACAAAAAGGTAATTTTAATTTTTTTTCTACGAATTTGTTAAATAGTGTTTTTCGGAATTCTACCCCCGCTTTTTTCAAAATTCTCATATTCTAGCTAATTTTGGAAGCCGGGATCGTTTTCAGTGGACAAAAATACATTGGAATCCATTCCCATAACGAAAATAATCAGAAATCTTATTTTTGGCGAGTTTACCCCCACTTTTTTCAAAAAACTCTATTTTTTGTCTTGTTTGCATTTGCATATACGGATTTTAAATTGAATGTTTTAAACTTCAATATTTATGACTTCAAAGATCTTATGAACCCCCATATATATTGTGAAAAATCTTGAACTTTCCACAAATTAATTTCAAAATTCAATTATTTCTAAAAATATTCAATTATTATCTAATACATAAATAAATGTTTTGCTTAGAATTCTATCACAATTTTTTAAAATAATTGAATTGGAGAATTTTATTAAAATAGTAAATGATTAAAAACCATTAAATTGAGGAAGATTTTTGAAAATAATTGAAATTTTGCCAAGAATTTTATTAAAATTTTTAAAAATAATGGAATTTCAGAGAAGAATTTAATTATTTCTAATAAGATAATTGAAAATTTGACGAGAATTCTTAAAAAATGTTGAACCAAATTGAATTTATGCGAAGAATTTTATTACTTTTAAAAATAATTGAATTTCTGCAATTATTTGTATAATTTCTCTAAAATTCTTCAAATTATATTGTACAATTTACCTACGAACTTTTTGTCTTTTCTCAATCAAATTGCGGACTTTATGGACCATTTATTAAAAAGAACTGACTTTTATGTACTTTCAAGCAAATTTACGGACTTTTAGGGGATTTACGGACCTAAGTTCGAATCCTGCATTTCCGGGAGTAATTATTTACTGATAGGGGTAAAATGGTCAAAAATAGAGACACGCTAGATCATGAGGTGTTCAAATAACACCAGAATGGATTAAAATAATCTGCGCAACAGTTTAATTCCTCCAGAATTAAAATAACACCGGAAAGGATTAAAATAATCCATTTTGGTGTTTTAACATAACATAACATAACATAACATAACATAACATAACATAACATAACATAACATAACATAACATAACATAACATAACATAACATAACATAACATAACATAACATAACATAACATAACATAACATAACATAACATAACATAACATAACATAACATAACATAACATAACATAACATAACATAACATAACATAACATAACATAACATAACATAACATAACATAACATAACATAACATAACATAACATAACATAACATAACATAACATAACATAACATAACATAACATAACATAACATAACATAACATAACATAACATAACATAACATAACATAACATAACATAACATAACATAACATAACATAACATAACATAACATAACATAACATAACATAACATAACATAACATAACATAACATAACATAACATAACATAACATAACATAACATAACAACTTAACTTAACTTAACTTAACTTAACTTAACTTAACTTAACTTAACTTAACTTAACTTAACTTAACTTAACTTACTAACAATCTAACAAACTAAGTAAAATACTAACAATGTATCTTACTAACTTTTTAACTAACTTACTAACCTAATTAGTAATTAACTTACTAACTTTCTAACTAACTTTTGTAATTTACTAACTAACTAATAAGCTAACTAACTTAATTACTAATTAACTTAGTAAATTTCTTACTAAGTAAATTACTGACTAACTAACTAGCTAACTAACTTTTATAAACTTAATTACTTAGTAACTTACTAACTAACTTACTTAACTTAGTTACTCAGTAACTTTACTAACTTACTAACTAACTAACTTTCTAAGTAACTTACAAACTTAATAACTAATAACTTAATTAACTTTCTATCTTATTCACTAACTAACTAACTCATTTTACTCATTAACTTATCAAATTACACTGGGACACAAAAAAACTTGATGCTCTGAGCTTTAGGTCAGACAGTAGCTACTTTATGTTTTTGGGTTTTATGTTTTTGGGTTCCGGGGTAATTACATATTAGTAGGGGTAAAATGGTAAAAAAAGAAGTAATAATTTAGGCTTCGTCCATATAATACGTAACGCTTTTTGGGAAGGAGGGTCAAGCTATTTGTTACGATAAGCCAAAAAAAAATGGCGCTAATGTATGTAACAATGTGTTACAGGGGGAAGGGGGGGGGGGGGGGTCAAAATTTTCAAAAATTAGCATTACGTAATATATGGACGAAGCCTTAAAGGAAAATGTGAAATTTATTTGCAAAATTTATTTATTAAATTTATTTATTTGCAAAAAAGAGGACCATCCATAAATTACGTAAGACATTTTTTTGAAAAATTTGACACCCCCCCTCCCCCTTGTAAGATATTTTACATACATTAGCGTCATTCTATTGTTCGTAAGATTTAGCAGACCCCCCCCCCTACCCCATAAATGTCTTACGTAATTTATGGACGATCCCAAATGGCAAAATATAAGAGAAAATGGTTCTTTAAGGGAAGGTCGCAATATTACCCCTGACTGGGAATACTGACTCTATGAAAAGGGGTAAAAGTGTATATAGTGTAGAATTTTAGATTATTTTTTACCGCGTGAAATTTTTGCACAAGTTGGATAAAAAAAATGACGTCATAGAAGGCATCGCAGGCAACGATTTTTTTCACGACAGGTCTCGACTTGATTGAAAAGGGTAAGTGCAACCAGTTGCCGTTCGGTGGCGCGCGGGTGAGAGTGGTGTGAGTTGTGCAGCGGCGGCTCGACTACAACTCCAACTCTCTAGACGTTCTCTCTCTCTCTCTCTCGCTCGCTCGCTCTCTAGTTTCTGGTAGCATTTCGTTGGCGCTGCGGGGCAAGGGACGCTCAAAAAACGTGTATCTGCGCGCGCAGCCGCTTTGTCTGTGCACGCGTAGTGGAGGGACAACGTTGAACCACGAGGGGGCCGCCAGGGGTCCAGGAGAGCGAACCATGGCGGACAAACGGCAACTGCATCCTTTCAGTCGGCCGCTGAACCCGCGTGCCGTTCAGTCGGCTTTTTCCTACACGTGCGTTTTTTTCTAATTTTTAAGAAAGAAAAAGCAAAAAAAATAAATAAATAAATATTTTTTCCCTCTTTCCTGTGAATTTTTTTTTTCTCTGAAAAATATTTGGTGGAAAAAAATTTTATTTTCTTCCCTTCCCTCCCGAACCCCTACAAAAAAAAAGAGGATTACAGGAGCAACAATGTTTATTATTGTTTATTGACGAAGTGTGTGAATAAATTTTTTTTTTATTGTAAAAAAAAATTAGTGAAAAAAAAATAGTTTTTTTGGTTAATTTTGTTGTTTAGCCGGAACTACCGGTTAATGGGAAGACAACCATCATTCCAACAACTCGATTTCTTTTGGAGTATATATTTGTTGTTCTCGTGCACAGTGAATCCGCGTGCGGGCGTCGCACACGAAACCCTTCCTGCATGGTGAGTCTATTTTTAGGCTTTTCCATTTATTTTTTTTTTACTGCTTATGGAAAAAAGGATAAAATATTTTATTGTTGACCAAGCTCTTTTGAACTGAAAACTAAATTTATAATACAATAAACTCGATGAATTTTTCCCCATTGAATAAAATTTGGTACAAATTACCCCACTAATGGGGTAAATTTGACTGGAATTTAAACTCCCTAAAAGATAAAATATCAAAAAATTATCAGACATTTATTTCGTCACTTCTTGTCCATAAAGGGAAAAAAATTGCAAAAGGAGAAAATGGTACAAATTACCCCATTGTGACACAGGTTGTAACCTGTGTCACAATGGGGTAATTTGTACCATTTTTTACTTATATTTCACCGCTGACATTCCTAGACAAAGTATAAAAAATTTTCATGACAATTTATTACATCTTAAAGATGTAGAATTGGAAAAGGAGAAAATGGTACAAATTACCCCATTGCGATAGAGTTACCTCTATCGCAATGAGGTAATTTGTACCATTTTCCTCAATTTATCTGGATTTTTATCCTGTCATTCAGAGACAAAGTTTCTCAAATTTTTATTATATTTTATTTCATCTGAAAAAATATAAGAATTGAGAAAGGAGAGAATGGTACAAATTACCCCGGTGCATAATATTTTCGCTTATTACCCTGGTCACTTGCTCCCATCACCTGCAGAAAAATGAAATACCCCATGTTATATATTGAACATAAAAAATCTAATCGCCTCAATTCTGAATGAAATGGAACATTATAAGTGAATTATGTGCAATATTACCCCAAAGTTGACTGACAAGTGAATAATTTACTCCTAGTTATAAATAAAACATAGGAAAATTTAATCACCATGGGGTAATATTGCCTCAATTTTCAATAAAATGGATCATTGAGAGTGTATAAGAATAGACAATATTAAGTATTAACCCATAGTTCGCCTGAGAACTGAATAATTGACCCCAAGTTACATATTATATAAAAGATGAAAAATCTAAGAGCTTTGGGGTAATATTGACTCAATTTTCAATGAAAGGGAACACTGTAAGTGTATTATGTGCAACATTACCCCAAAGTTGCCTAACAAATAAATAATAATTTACCCCTAGTTATATGAAAAATGTAATCGCCACGGGGTAATATTGACTCAATTTTCAATCAAACGGATCATTGTCAGTGTATAATAATGTACAATATTACCCCACAGCTCGTCTGACAACTGAATAATTGACCCCAAGTTTTATAAAAATATAAATATGAAAGATGCAAAATTTAATCGACACGGGGTAATATTGCCTCAATTCTCAATGAAACGGAACATATTCAATATTACCCCAAAGTTGCCTGACAACTGAATAATTTACCTCCAGTTATATATAAAACATGACAAATTAAATCTCCATGGGGGGTAATATTGTCTCAAGCTTCAATAAAATAGATCATTTTCAGTGTATAATAATAATGTACAATATTACCCCATAGTTCGTCTGACAACTAAATAATTTAGTTTCCAACCTCAATTAGTGAGAAATATTTTTGTTAAACTTGTGTCATCATTTTTCACACATTAATGAGAATTAAAATACTATGTGCCAACTTACCCCGTTTTAGTAACATATCTACACTAGAAATTAGTGTATAATAATATATTAATAATACACAACTGAGGGGTGAAATGTTTCATTAATAAATTTTCGAAATTAATTTCCATTCATGTGCTCGTTCTTTTTATAAATGCAAATTCGATATAGAATATTATAAAGAATCATTTTGCCGGAGAAATTTTCATGAGTCAATGAATTCAAGGCTTCGAGGAAATAAATCGTGCGAAAGTAAACTGTCCTCACGAAACTCGAGACTGACATCCGCAAATTAGTGATGCAATGTAAATACTCTAAACCGACAGACTGTTCCTTGAATTATTAAAAAAGTTAACATTATATCACTTTTATTTCGACAATTATCATTGTTTATTTAATTCTATATCAACATTATGCGAACAATTATCGTTCAAGTAAACAATATATAATTTGTAATAATTAATTTTTGTAATAAATAAATAGACAAAGAAATAAATAAATAAACAAATAATACAATAAACAATGAAACATATAAATAATACGAAAATTTATTGCAAAAAATATAAATTATATAAATATCAATAATATAGGAAATAATAAATAAAATAAATAGTAAATAATATAGTATATAGTAAATAATTAATAATATAATAAAACAGTAAAAAAAATAATAAAATTAATAAATAATATAATTAACAATAAAATAAACAAATAATAAATAAATATATAATAGTATATAATGTAACAATATATAATATATAAATATAATAAATAAATAATATTAAAAAAATCAAATTAATTTAAAAAATAAATAAAAAAAAGAGAAAAAAAAATTTTGATAATAATTTTTTGATTGAAAAATGTTGCGATACATGTTTCGATAAATTTTGATATCGTAATCGATTAGTTAAATTTATTGATCGATAAGTTTCAAGATATAACGATCGATTTATTTCGATCCTAGAAATCGATTTCCGTAGGACTCGTTTTTCTAATGTCAATAATTTTATTTGTGTCGATAAAAATAGCAGAAGCATTATTTTAATCGATTTCGATCAATAGAAAGAAGTTCGATATATCGATATCATTAATCATTATATAAATCTGACACAATAAATGTAGATCCCTTTTAATGTTTAATGAGTGTTCGATATATCGAGCAATTAATATCGATATATCAAATTATCCGATCCTTTTATTTGAGACATGCAATAACGATAAATTTCAAGAGAACAATTATCAATCGAGACATTTCGAGATATCGATCAATTAATTTAAAAAAATAATCTAAATTTCAAGATAATTTTACTATTAAACGATTAATTTTGAGATCGATCGATATATTAAAATATCGATCATTCATTTATTAATGTCATAAACTATTTATTAATTTTGATAAATAAATCGATATTAATCGATTAATGTCAATATATCGATAAATTAATTTCGAGATATCGAATGTTTATTAGCTATTTATTGATATATCGATAAATTAATTTTGAGATATCGAATGTTTATTAGCTATTTATTGATATATCGATAAATTAATTTTGAGATATCGATTGCTTATTAATTATTTATCGATATATCGATAAATTAATTTTGAGATATCGATTGCTTATTAATTATTTATCGATATATCGATAAATTAATTTTGAGATATCGATTGCTTATTAATTATTTATCGATATATCGATAAATTAATTTTGAGATATCGATTGCTTATTAATTATTTATTGATATATCAATGAATTAATTTCGAGATATCGATTGCTTATTAATTATTTATCCATATATCGATTACATATCAATTAATTTCGAAATTCGATTAATATCAAAAGTATCGATCAACTGATTTCGAGAGGTCGATTAGTATTGAAATTTTGATCGATTAACTTTGTGAAGATCTTTAATATATCGAAGTATCAAACTAATATTATCAAAAGGTCGAACTATATCGAAGTATCGATCGATTTATTTCGTAAAGATAATAAATATCGAAGTATTGATCGATTAATTGTGAGAGGTTGATTAATATCGACTTATTAAACAATTATTGTAGAGATTTCGATTAATATCGACGTATCAATCGATTATTGACGAGATTTCGATTAATATCGATATACCGATCGATTAATTTCGAGATATCGATTAAAATATATTTTTTTAGAATTGGATATTGAAATAATTAAAAATAATATGAATTTTCGTATATTATTGAACTTATATAATTTTTATAAGAAAATGGAGAAATTAATTTTTCGAATATATCGATATTTTATTTAGTGTTATTATATGAAGAGAGATGGAGAGATTGTATAATATCGTATCCCATGAGTTTGCGTTGCCTGGACTTGCAGAGAGCGAGGTTTTGCAGTAAAGGCAACCGCTAGTCGGGGTGGTGCTTCTTATGACCTTTCTTTCTCGCCTTTTATTCTTATTTCAAGCAGTGAATCCGATGCAGAAGATGATAATTGCTGGCCAACTGTAGAAACATTGCGGATACATTCTCGTGACGAAAAGTTCTTTCTTTCTTTCTCTCTCTCTCTCTCTTTCTTTCTTTTAAAAATTTTCTTTCTACTCTCTTTATTTTTGTCCATTTCTCTCTCTTTCTCTCTGTCCTAAAACTTTCCGTAGCACAACTTGTGGGCACATATTAAAATATTATGATTATTATAGTTTTATAATATTAAAAACGTTTTATTATAATATAATATATATTATTATACTATTATATTATTAAAATATTATGTTATAATATTGTGCTAAAAAGTTGTACTATTGAGAATTTTGAGAGAATATTATAATTATTATAATAATGTAATATTTTTTTAATATTGTGAGGTAATGTTGCCTCAATATTGCGAGGCAATATTAGCAATATAATTATAATGTTATAATAAATATATTATAATATTTTATAATATTGCAATAACCAATAGAGCGGATGTGTATAACTCATCGAAAAAATGTGTGAGTATGTGTGTGGTATGGCTTCAGAAAAGAATCGAATGACTTTAAAAAAAATTTTTTTCCATCCTTTGCGGTTTCCTTTCATTGTAGACAATATATGTATATAATTTTCATGCTTTCGAAGTACTCATCTCCTGGAGATATACGTGAGCACTTCCGATTTCTTTATTTCAAAAAGAAAAAGAAAGTTTCAAATAATTTGTAGACGTTTTTTTTTGCTTCGATTTTCCCATATACTGCGATTTCGATATTTTAAAAAAAGGGCTTCTTCTTAACTCGCAAAATTCTTGTTTCGTTATAATTTCCTTATATAACAGGATGTCACAAATTTTATATATAAGAATAACAATTATTGTTTAAATAGTTGTATAAATAATTTTTTAAATAATTGTCTAAATAATTTGTTGACTAATTGTTTAAATAATTGCCTATATAA